CGTCCCATTGTAACGGAACCTCACTTCAGCTGATCGTGAACCTGCTGTATATTCATTCTCGATGCTGGAGGTCAGAAATTTCAGATCATTATAGTTTGGTATGACCTCGCCAGATATAATGACTGTAGCTGCAGCAGAAAAGGGAACTTCGGGTAAAAATCTAGCAGAACTGACAGATCCGATAGGGGCAATAGTTGGATAGGAGTATTCAGCAGCTTGAGTGATAGTAAGATTGTTGAAAAAGCTCGAGGAGAAGGCCAAATGTGGCAATGGAGATGTGTAGGAGCGAAAATTTGGCAGATCCATGGTGGTAGAGCACCTCAAAATAGCTCTCAGTCATTCTTACAGGTTGCAGACATGGCTTGGGCAAGCAACAGGCACATTCGGAGTGTTACCGTGCTGGGCACCATCACATTTGAAATCTTTGAAATTGGTACTACAGGCGGATGGAAGCAAATTTGAAAGATATACTACAAATACTGGGAGAGGCAGTTAGAAATGCTTGAAGGATACTTGACTAAGGCCTCACCATAAGAATTACTGATACCACAGAACTAAGATGAACGAGCGCGATGTGGTTGAGACTCAGACTGTGGGTTTTGCTTTGTGTGGTCACATGCCCTTATTTGGCAATGGCAAGGCACACAAATTCACATTATGATGGGCAAACAACAAATCATGGGGTTTCTCGCTTAACACACAGAAACCCCTGATTTCTCACAGAAAGGGGGTTTCTGAATAGTTTTATCCATTTTAACGCAAAGGGACAATTGTAAGGTACCACTCAATTGTAAATGAAACGAAAATTTGTAGTGAGCTCGTAGCTCAATTGTAATGTGCGATTTTCTTACTAGTCGATCTGCGGATTTGTAGTCGTGTTGTTACTTTGTACTGTTGAACAATTGTTATTAGAGGGAATCAAACTCTGAACCTATTGATTACTTACTTTGTTATGACGTGCTTACTGACTTGGCTATAGTTACCACTTGGTTATGGGGGCATATTTAGCAATAATATCTAGCTTAATTTGTCATGACAAGCACTAGGCTCGCAATACAGTTGATACAGAGCGCTGTTCTCGCTCCTCGTAAACTTAGCTAGATAGGTAAAAGAACAGTAATAAGTAAAAAAGTCGGTCCATAATGCAATAAACAAGTGAATCCAGTCAATTGCAGTAGCTAGACGTTGATACAACACAGATGTAGTAGCTCAGCATGCTCAATCGCCATTCAACGGCTGCTCGTCGACGATGCCCTCACAATGCTGGACCCAGCTATTTCGCATTTGCCTTCAATTTTGCACCACGCATCTGCCGACTTGGATGAGCGAGCGCCGCAGGTATTCCGGCACCTGAATCAGCATCAACGTGAACAACCGAAACCTGTTTTGGGCGTCGACCACAGGGAGCTTCAGTGGGTGGCGCAGGCACATCAGCAACAGCCTCGGAGGTTGAGGGAACAGGCGTGGGGACTCGATGACGTCCACGGGGTGGATTGATTGATTGGGAGATGGGCGCAACAGGAGCAGGGGTGTGCACTTCCACGTTTGGATGCAAATCCGGCGCCTGTTCCACATCTGAGTGGGCGTTCACGCACTCTACATCGGTTGGAAGGGTCTGGGGGAGTGGGAGTGAGCTAGAATTTTTCGAAGTGGGAGCTGAAGAAGTGTCGGCTCCCATACGCAGTCCACGGAACATGGAATCGAGACCTGGGTTTTCATCAGCGTCAACCCGGACACGTGGTGCTTCTTCTTCTTCGTCCTGTGAGTCGGGAGCGAGGAGGAATTGTGGAAAAACTTGCATGTTCCAGTATTGCAGGAGCTTTCGAACGGTTGGCGCATCCTGATTTTCGATTAAAAGCTTTTTGTAAGCTTCTGCCTCGCTCGCGTAGTTGATTCCTGTAAGTTTTCCAACACCATGCTTGTTCAGCTCAAGATCACCTCTGAGAAGAAAACGAATCTAATAATTTTGTTAGCCAGAGGACTTATATGCCTAATGAAGAGCTGTGAAGTGTACGACGACTGCAGTGTTGCTAATAAATCCAAAGGTAACACCATCTACATGGCTGTGAAAGGGACTGTTTTTGTTGAATGCAGCTCTCTCCAATGTGTACGATCGTGGGCCATAGGCGATGAGACGTGCCATCTAGTATTGTAAGTAGTACGACGAGTGTTTAGAAGTCCATTAATGAAAATACTTGAGAAATACTTACGGAGATCAAGTAATCACTTCTGAACATGCCCTCTTCATCATGAATATTGCCATTAGTATAGAGAACTGGTGCATTTGAGGGGTAGCGTGCTGTAGGTGTTTTCCCACAGGGGTTGAAGCCAAGAAGTGTCGCAAGTTCAGGATTAGCTTCCATGCGCTTCTCGTCACACTTGGGATTGTGGTTGAAGAGGCTTTGGTCAAGGCCAAAAATTGCCCCTGCGCTCCCACGCGTGCGCAGAAGTGTGTTCAAGCGGCCTGATGAGACGCTCGCTCGGAACTAATTGAGCACATTGTGAGTTTTTATGATCTATGGGAGAGGGAGAGATCACATACAATACTTCGGAAATTCTCATGCTTCACCATGTAGTCATGGTATTGAGGAGGAACACACATGTAGAGCTCTGCAGTTTGGCTGGCTAATCTTGTTGTTGAATCGAGGTACCGGTCCTTGCTATCCCACGTGAAGTCAGGGCGAGAAATATCGAATGGGGAAGGTGTGCTCTGCTGAATCCAGAACAAGTAAAAATGAGCAAAAACTTTCCCTAGTTTACTGATTTCTTCGTCGTGTGCAGCAAGTTCTTGCGACGGAGCTTTGGAGCCATTGTTTTGACAACAGGAAGCGGCAAGTTCTTGTTTTAGCTGTTGGTTCTCAGCCTTCACAGCATTGAGCTGGCTATGTGCATCGTGCTGGCTATGCGCATCGTGCAGTGCCTGGCCGAAGAATGAAAAGTTAATAAAATCGGAGATCAAGGTGATGGCCATAAGTCAGTCAGTCATACTTACCTTAAGAAGCGCGGCAGTGTCCAATCCAGCGTGAAGCTCTGACCTGACGCTGCCGTGACTGGCTGTCGAGTTGTCAGATCTGGATGTGGAGATGGAGTCAAGGCCAATCATCGATGGTGTGAGCGACATCATCAGAATAAACTAAGGGGAGCTTTCACGAATCACAACAACATGCAGTATGCAAGGTCTACAATTTAGGTGTAGATAATTTGATCCGTTGTTGCATTATTGCGTGTCAGCTCAAGTAATGGAAAAATGAAAGGACAAGGTCGGGCCGGTGACTAAAATTAAATTTCCGTAACTTAACTGATGATAATACATTTTGAAAAGCATGGGCTGGAGAAACTTTGCCTTGCGGCTAATTAATTACCTCATCGACATGCATCAGATTAAATAACTCTAAACTTTTGAATGGGTGCCGATCTCAGTAGCACTTGTCTTGAGTAAACTTTGATGTGAGAATGAGTGAAGCAAGAAAGGCATGATGAGGGCAGAGAAGGGGGGACAGAAGTGGCAGCAGAGGCATAACCAGTGCAGTTGGCAACTTTGGCTTTTGGATTCCTTGTCCATCATTGGACTTTACGGATGTCAGACTGGATTGCAGTATTGTTTCTGGGCAGCTAAAAAAATCTGTTATGCAAACAGTATCCATGGTGTCGTTTGACGTGATGCTTGCAATGGTGGCTTTGTACCCAATTTCGGCTTTGGTAGCAGGGACAATTTGGCTGGTGGGCATCAATTGTGCCAAAGGAATGGACAAGCAGCAATGTTCTTGATCTATGTAACCATTTATTTGTTAATACTTTTACAGATCATCATTTGTATCAGATACTACACTAATCTATACCTCCTTTTTATATAATTCTTATGTCTATATTCTATTTATATCAGAGTGCCTCAGGTTTTCATTTCCATCTGAAGTCAACAGTGAGTGCCACCAGTGTGGGGAACATGGAATAATGGAACATTGACAGAAAAGCATCTCACTCTT